ACAAGGATGGGGCCCCCAAAGTCCCTGTAATACGTATATATACTACTAAAAAAAATATAGGGAACACTAAAATAACACATCCTAGATCTCAGTGAATGAAATATTCCAGTTGAAAATCTTTATTCATTACATAGTGGAATGCGTTAAACAAAATAAAATAAAAATGATCAATGTAAATCAAAATTATTATCCCATGGACGTCTGGATTTGGAATGATATTCAAAATAAAAGTGGAAAAAAATCACATTACAGGCTGATCCAGCTTCAGTGGAAATTCCTCAAAACAGGCTCCTGATGAGGCAGGATGTTCTCCTGAGGGATCTCCTCCCAGACCTGGATTAAAGCATCGTCAACTCCTGGACAGTCTGTGGTGCAACGTGGTGCTGTTGGATGGAGCGAGACATGATGTGTGCACAATTGGATTCAGGTCTGGGGAACGGGCAGGCCAGTCCATAGCATCAATGCCTTCATCATCAGGAACTGCTGACACACTTCAGCCACATGAGGCCAAGCACTGTCAAGCATCAGGAGGAACCTCGAGCCCACTGCACCAGCATATGATCTCACAATGGGTCTCAGGATCTCATCCCGGTACCTAATGGCAGTCAGGGTACCTCTGGCTAGCCCGTGGAGGGCTGTGCGGCCCTCCAAAGAAATGCCTCCCCACACCATTACTGACCCACCGCCAAACCGGTCATGCTGGAGGATGTTGCAGGCAGCAGAACGTTCTCCACGGCATCTCCAGACTCTGTCATGTCTGTCACATGTGCCCAGTGTGAACCTGCTCTCATCCATGAAGAGCACAGGGCGCCAATGGCCAATCTGCCAATCTTGGTGTTCTCTGGCAAATGCCAATCTTCCTGCATGGTGTTGGGCTGTAAGCACAAGTCCCACGATGTGGACGATGTGGCCCTCATACCATCCTCATGGAGTCTGTTTCTGACAGTTTGAGCAGAAACATGCATATTAGTGGCCTGCTGGAGGTCATTCTGCAGGACTCTGGCAGTGCTCCTCCTGGTCCTCCTGCACAAACGAGGAGGTAGCGTCCTGCTGCTGGGTTGTTGCCCTCCTACGGCCCCCTCCACATCTCCTGGTGTACTGGCCTGTCTCCTGGTATCTCCTTCATGCTCTGGACACTGTGCTGAGAGACACAGCTAACCTTCTTGCCACAGCTCTCATTGATGTGCCATCCTGGATGAGCTGCTCTACCTGAGCAACTTCTATGGGTTGTAGACATGCCTCATGCTACCTCTAGGGCTGAGAGCACTGACAAAATGCAAAAGTGACCAAAACATCAGCCAGAAAGGACGAGAGCAGATTCCTGCAGAATCACTCCTTTATAGGGGTTGTCTTGCTAACTGCCTCTCATTTCCACCTGTTGTCTGTTCCATTTGCACAACAGCAGGTGAAAGTGATTCACAATCAGTGTTGCTTCCTACCTGGACAGGCTGATTTCACAGAAGTGTTATTGACTTGGGAGTTACATTGTGCTGTTTAGGTGTTCCCTTTTTTTTTTTAGCAGTATATTTGTTTATGGATGAATGTATTCAGTTTGGTCCTTAAAAAGTTAAGTTATGTTTTGGTTCGTAAAAAAAAAAATGAAGCTGGTGAGAAATGCTATCAAAACTATCAAGAGCCAAAAGTCACATCTTTGCGATATTTATTTTGTCCAACCAACAGTTATTACAATAATTAAAATGACAAGCAGCAAATTCACAAACCACAGGAGCTGAGAGCATGAAACATCACAGCCATTTTACAGGAACAATGGCTAGTATGGTTTTAAAAAAAAGATGTAATCAATAATGACAAATGACAAATAAAAAATATGCTTTGCACATGTATTTGTTTTTTTGTTGTTTTTTTAAAAAAAAATTGTAATCAGTAGCTAAAACTGTCAAACCAATGTGATGAAATAAAAGAAAAACATTTTCTTCTGAACTACAATAGCTGTAAAAACTGGCATCAAAAGAGAATACTCAAGTGAAGTAACTACTTTCTTGTACTTAAATACAGAACAGTAGAGTACATAAATATGCGTAGCTCCATTCCAGCACAGTCTACATACTGTAGCATGTATGATAAATCTACTGGCCAAAATAATTATGATATTTTCTTTAGATTGTTGCCACCAGAAAAAAAGTCACAAAGAAAGTGTCACATGATTATATTCAGAAGTTTGTCATATCTTTCTTCAGTACTAAAAAAAAGAAATCCCTCTCCTTCAGTCTGGTTGTACAGACATGATTTCACTGGTTACTCAGCAGGCTTTATCAAATAAATACTTCTACCAGACACAACAGTTTAACCTTCAGTGGAGGGTCAACGGTGAGCTGTGAACAGAGGAGGGAAATACCTGAAATCCCATCACACCTCTGTACTGCCACCAATCTGGTCTTGTATCAGAAGACCAGGGTAACTGTATTTCTTGGTATCTCAGAATTAAGGTCAGGATGTCACGACAACAGTTTATTCCATACAGCTTGTACAGCTAAAGAACTTCTGCTGGTATACTGAAAGAAGAAGATGGTCCCTTCAGTCAAACAGTGGCTTAAGCACCCAGTACTTTGGAAGCTTAAAGTTTATAGACTGCTGGAATTCAGATCTAGCTGCCTCTTCCTAACAGTAAGCAACAAAAATGAGCAGATCTCTGTGTGACATTACTTAAATGTGAAATGATTCAAAGTTACAGTAACTGTAGTACAGCACTGCAGTACAGAGTATTTGCTCATACATCAAATTCAGTCGGGACTGGTGAACATTTTTGGTGCGGATTTTTTTAAAATCTGAAATTTGAATATGAGTAACATCAGGCACAACTATTTACAGAAATGCAAATTGTCTACCTTTGGAGAATATTCTAATCACAATCTAATTTAACACTGTTAAGACTTACCAGAACTGAATTTCAAAATCATTCATCAAAAGTTCAACAATATTTAGGATCTGTACAAACTCAAAACACACAACATAAATAATGAAAAAACCACTAGTCAGGGCTCCAGACTAACTTTTTCACTGGGAGCACCAGTACGACCAACTTCCTCATTTTGTTGCACCTCCCACCTGGTCAAAGGCAAAACATATGACTTGCTGAACATTTTCTTCTTGATAGACGCTATGATTTACTGATGCTCCCTGAACGCCCCACATAGCAGACAGCGGTAGATGCTGCTTGGTGGCTGTGGTGTGCTCTGACAGGTGTGCGACCAAAAATGACCTTAAAAACAATAAACTAGGGCGTTCTCATGCCAGATTTGTCCGAGGTTAAAACGAGTTACATGTATTCTACACGCAGCCTTTTCTCCATTGACAGCATGCATTAAGCCGTCACAACAGTAGTTGTCATCTAGTAGCAGAGGAGGGAAAAGGCCGTGACGGTGTCAGAAAGCACAGTCGTAAGAACGTCGAAGGACAGTTTGATATCCAACCACAGAAGACAAAAGCAAATAAAGACTAAATTAATTGGCTTACAGCAAAAGTGGATGGGTCCGGGACGCACCGACCTGCGTCCCTGAGAAAGTCTGCAGCTGCCAATCAGAGCACGAGCCAAGGTCACATGATCACGAAAAGTTTTTCGAGCTCCATACACGCTCATTTGGTCACGTCCCGCATCCAGGAAGTGAAAAATAAGTAAACACGCAGTGAAGACTAATATTAAATCTGTTAATAATACAAATTTTGTTAATATAGCAAAAGAATATGAACGTTATTAATTTCATTATTATTTTGTTATAATTAATTCAAATTTAATTTCAAGTTTGAGAGCTACTTTTATCTGGTTATTTGTAGTGGTAACTGCCAGTACATGATGATCAGTAAGACCCTTGCCTTAAAAAAAATAAAAATAAAAATAAAAAAAAAAAACCTTGAATGTCTGTATAATAAAGATAACATATGCAAAATTCTTTCCAAAACCAAACAGGAGTTATTTTAATTCAGTTTTGTACTTTTCAGACAACCACTGACTTGTATTCTCTTCAGCAAAAATTAGTCTGTCTTGCTTTTAACATAAAAACAATATTGATCATATATATATATATATATATATATATGTGTGTGTGTGTGTGTGTGTGTGTGTGTGTACTCCCTGACAGTGTGTTGACTTGCTTCTGAGAAAGAGCTTCTGCAGACTGGGAGGCATCTTGCCGACCAGTATTTTAGTCTATCCGCAGGCATTCGTAGTGCATCGACTCATATAGTCTCCCCAGCACCTTTTGGACTCAGGTAACCCCAAATCTTCACACTCCCAGCAGTGTTAAATCCTGCAGTTTTGTGCGGAAGAAAGAGCAAGTTTTTTTTGTTTTTGTCTTGATGCTATCCATCAAGGTTTAAATTATGAAATGTCCTTCACACCGTCTGAACTGCCACAGAAACTGATTTCCACTGATAATTCATGTGCAAAGTCTGAAGCACTTGCCCAACTGTTTTTCAGAGCTTGTGGCATCACTTTAATAGTATAGCCCTTCTGGCTCAGATTAGTGATACTAGGCTATTTCTTTCACTATCCCATCTTTGTGAAGTCCTAGAATCTTTTTTGTTTCTTAATTCCTTTGGCAATTCTTGTCGATGTGGAGCCATACAGACAGACAGCTCATTTTAATAACCATGTTTATACAATGAGGTTGATTGAAAATAAAGGTGCACTCAATTTAGTTTATATGACCACATGTTTTCTAACTTGCCTGCCAAAGACCACAGGTGTATTCATTTTTATTGCACTGAGCTTCTACTGTGGTAATTATATTTCCAATTAAGTCTTTGTTAAATATTTGTTTTGGATTGTTCATAAGAGGAAATACTGTACTTGGCAACTTCAAAATAAGGTAATTTGTGAGACGGTATAATCATTTGACATGAAAGAGATTTTGCACAAGGGTGTACTTACTTCTGTTATAAACTGTTTGTCTGAGTGTGAAATGCAGTATTGAGACACAACCGGTTTTGTGAGAAGCTACAGCTACAGGGATACTTGCTCTGAAAATAATTAAGAGACAGACTCCAGCAGGTGCAGCTCTCATGTTTTACACACAATACAAATAGATCATTGTTTCTTTTTGCACAAACAAGGCATAAAACACATAAAGTCCAATGACAACAAACCATTACATAAACATCCTACATCTCAATGTACTCAAAGATTTATCTTTTTAAACTGACCTCACTGAATGCATGTCTAATTTCAATATGATGTTCTCAAAATATATTACTTTACTTATGACTCAAACAGACCCTCATATATTCCCTACTGAGGCAATGGCCCAACAATCTATTGATGCACAGTTACTTTGTCGAGAATTAAAATTCCTTTGTGTGCAACGTAAATAGTCAACGTGTTGACAAAAATTCCTAAGGAGTGAATCTGAAAAACAGCAGGAGTTCAATATAAAAACGTAATTAATATATGGCACTCTGTACATGTAGAGCAGAACTACAAACAAGAGTCATAGAGAAATGCAGTAATCACAATTTATCTTAACTAGATTAAGTCTAAAGCTATGAAGCGGTACAATCAATTGAACAGAACATTTGTTGCAAAAAAAGAGAAGCTGCACACTGAAACGTTTCCCCTGGGAACAACAGAAACCCACCTTTAGTTTAAAATATATGAAACGGACCAATTAATGAAATAAAAAAAACATATGAAGTGTGTATAAATAATGTCACTGCAAGTCATCTTTTGCAAAAGGTAGTTCACACAAGGAGTCTTAGTGTTACTGAGTAGTCTGAGGGTAACGTTTTGATTAAACAAGTACGAAATCATTTGGGTTGATATCAGTCACCTCCACTGTGTGGTCATGTACAACAGCGACTGGAGTAAACCTGTAGTGAGCCTGCTCTGTTCCAGATACAGGTTGAAAATAATCAAGATGCAATTACAACCTGAAACCTCTATCAGAAAGATACTTAGAATGGCTGTAGGGAAGTGCAGTAGTGTGATTTTTCTTCTTACGTACAGTGTCATCTTTTAGCAATAATAAGAGTAATAAGAAAATCAAAGTGTGTTTAAACCGCAATGGCCACATGGTTAAGTGTGTGTCTGTGTGTCAGCAGATCAGAAGACGGATGGGAAATGTCACTGTTAGGTGGTCTAGTGCCTCTGAGGTGGAGTCTTCTAGTTCTGATATCAGCTTTTCCCTGAATTGGACAAAAGAGAGCATTTACCATACTAAGAAGCTATGACACATCTATTGAACCTGAAGTGAATGGCTTGTTTAGACCATCTTGGAAAAAGAGCAGGACCTTACTTAAAAGGGTGTGCATTTGCTCCCACCTATGTTTGCTTTTAGATGTTCCGTATGGCAATACTTTCTTTTATTTAATGTAAAGGTTACTTAATCTCACTTAATCTTCCACCATTTTCCTTGACTGGAGACCAGAAAAGACTGGTTTTCTACAACACAGTTTCATCGTCAGGTGGCTGCCTGAAGGGCAGACATCAAGGGAGAAGTTTGTTAATGAGGAAGCAAATGCACAGCAGGTCTGCTGCTACATACAAATTTAGGTTTAAACACAAGCTACATCTCCTACAGCTTCTGTTGTACATAGATTAAAAGTATTTTAGTTTGTATTCATATTTAGTGTTTTCAGAGCTCTCGGGCATGAACAGTTGAGGACAGTGGTAGATGTCGCTCAATGAATACCTTAAGCTAAAGACTAGTGTTGGGCTAAAGATAAGTGTTTGAAGCTAAAGGGGAATATTTATGACAGCTGACATCCTTTTGTCTCCGTTATTGCAGGTTAACATGAGGGACCATTGCGGGGCATAAAGCTCTGTGGGTTTTTCTCTGTGGGTAAGTGGCTATGTCTGAGGACCCTCAATGATATGGTTAGGGTCCAGGGGTGACGCCTTCCTCCATGGTGGCCGGTGGGTTGGGATCCTTGTGGAAAGGAGTCTCCTTGTAAATGAACCAGCAGTTACCTGCCCACAGGATCAAGTTCAAAAAGCCGAAAATCTGTAGGAATACATGCAAACACAAATGAGAATAAATAATGTTCACCATGTATTTTAAATCTCATACAGCCTGTTTGCCCTGACATGGATTAAAAAAATTCAATGGAGTTGTCCAGTTAAAAAGGTTTTTAGTCTAGGACAGGGCTCAATTCTGGTCTGGGAAACCGAGCCATCGTGTTCACTTATGTTGATGACATATAAAGGGGTGTTCATTGAGATGAAGTCTGTGATTCTGGAGAAAGAGATTGTTGACATTTAGCTCGTTCATAAATTTACATAGTTAGCATCGACCAGATGTACTGTCTCTCTCACTCTCACTGCTCTCTTTGCCTAGCAGTTACAACTAGCCGACTCTTGCTCTTCGAATACATCCAGAGGATTTATAATCCATCATTTTGGAAAAAAGCAATAGTTTGATGTTTTATGTACTTATTTATCTCATGCAGACAATATAAACAACTGTTCACTGTTTGGATGAATGGGACTGCCGGCAGACACGTTGACTCTCTTGTCTCCAATCACAAGTTGTGTTATTAAACGGTGAACTGTGTGCAAAGCTTTGCTCCAATGGCATTTACAAAATTGCTGATTTGCACACGACTCCAGCAGCAAGAACTAGAACCCACGGTGAGGCGGCATTTAGCCACTACGGCCCCCACCTGTGGAACAGCCTGCCGGAGAGCCTCAGGACTACAGAGACTGTCGATACTTTTAAAAGAAGGTTAAAGACGCACCTTTTTAATCAGGCTTTTAATTGAACTTTAATTCTTTTATATTCTTATCATTTATTTATATTTGCATTTTATCTTTGTATTTTATCTTTATGTATTTACTCTTTTAACTTTTATTTTATCTTACACAAGGCCTTTTATTCTTAAAGTTTTTAGTTTTATTTCCAGTGTTTCCTTAGGGGGGTCCTCCACACTGGGGGCTGTGTGCGGTCTGCTGCTGGGGGTTCTGTCTGCGGGTCCTTTCAGCCGGCTAGTTGGGGGGCTCCCCACCTCGTTGTGGGGACTCCCCCGTCTGCCAGGTCGGGGGTCCGGGCGCTGGCGCCCCCAGTAGTCATGGTCTGCAACTCCTCCTGGTGTGGACGGCCCCAATGGTAGCGTTTCCCACAATTCCTCAGTGCCATGCCACGCCTCTTTTAGTCTCGTGGTGAGTGTGTGCGTCTGTGTGTGCGCGACTTCATTTGTTGTATGTGTATGTGTATGCATGGAGGGTGGGAGAGACGGGTTTATTTTATTTTATTTTTTAAATGTTGTAATGTTTTTAAATGTTGTAATAGTTTTTAAATGCTTTGTTGTTTTTAAATGTTGTAAAGCACTTTGCGTTGTAGTTGCACATGAAAAGCGCTATACAAATAAAATTTGATTGATTGATTGATTGATTGACTGGAGATATCTGTGCATTGTACCAACGAGGACATCTACTGCAGAAGCGACCTTCAGAGAGTACATAAGGTGTCAACATAGTTATCTGTAGTGTATTGCGCTACCTGAAGACGTGTTCCTACTTTTGTGGTCACTTGACAAGGCTCAAAGTGAAAACCCACCCAGAAATGATCCACAAATGTACAAACTATAATACTTTCATGTTTCACATTTTCATATAGACAAAAACCAAAAAAGACAGTTGCAGACAGTTGTTACAAAAATGTATCATTGTTCTGTTTTTGTAGGTATTAAGAGAGCTATTTGTTTGTATTTTGCCTGGGGCTGCAAATGTAAAGATTTTGAAGTTGTTCAAACTAATTCTTTCTCAGCAGCAACTTAAGGTACATCATCATCTGGTGAGCCATTTTCATTAAAACCCTCCAATATTAAAGAAAACGTGGCTCTGGACTAAACCTGACAGGCTGTGTCATCAACGTGCCTATATTTACTCAACACTGGGACAACAGCACACCATTATCTGATATCACTCATATTAGGGAGCAGAGTATTTCTCTTGTCGACATGAGGCGCCAGTGAGCCAAGAAATACATTTGAGGGTTATGAAGTTCATTGTTCATGTCCATTTTTTGCACTTATAGGCTGCTTAATATCACCACCAGTAACATTACGGAACAAACTGTGGTGTTTTTTAGTAGACACTAAAATTTAAATATCGGTGAGTGATGTTAAAATAAGAAGATAAGTTTGACCTTTACATCTACATTTACACAACTGTCAATAAATGTAGATACTACGGTGTAAATATTCCAACAATTACTGCATGTACATCTTTCTTTGACTCAAAATACATCCAAATACCTGAAAAATGCTATTATAGGGCTACAGTTACATCCCAATGTGAACTCAAATGCTATCATACCTCGCTAATGCTATATACTGCTGCAGTGAAACACCAGTTGATAGCTGTGGCTCAGATGGTAGAGCAGGTAACCCACTAACTGCAAGGTTGGCAGTTCAATCCCCTACCAGATCGAGGTGTCCTTGTGTAAGACACTGAACCCAAAGCTACTCCAAATGGAATGGCAGTTCTGTCACCACTGGTGTACCAATAAGGTAGAAAAGTGTTACATAAGCACAGACCATTTACTATATGACACTGCCTGTTATACATCATACACAGAAATATTCTATTATCAGCCTAATTGGCATATAAGGTGTCCTGGTTTCTTTTTTTTTTGGCTTTTTTACCTTTTTTGTTTAGGACAGTGAAGAGAGAGACAGGAAAGTGGGGGAGAAGAATGGGGGAAGGACCTGCAGCAATGGGCCATGAGCGGGATTTGAACCCAAGGCCACTGCATCGGGGACTATAGCCCCTGCACATGGGTCGCCAGCTCAACCAGGTGAGCTATAGCAGCGGCCAGGTACACTGTTTTTAAAATTGAAAAAGTCGTAGGACTGCTGTTGCAAAATGCAGTTTACAGTAGCTTTATAAATTCTCATATCAGAACCAATAGTTATGTTTTTTCCATGACTGAATAACTGTCTACACATTCTGCCTAAATAATCAGGTTGTGTTAGTGAACCACTGATATTATGTGCAACTATAACAACTGCTAAGACCTAACAAAACCAAAATTAGTTTACATTTTATGTCAAAGACTTATTCAATATACATGGCCTTGTAGCTTGGTGCTATATTCAACAAGATGGATGCAAAATATATCAAGTATAGCTTTGTGGAGACTTACCACAGACGCATTAAGGCGGCCCATGGAAGGAAACTCTCCTGCAGTGCAACTAACAGTACATGACTCCACCAGGTGGCTGGGGTTAGTGGCCCATTTGACATCAGTCAGGCCTTTGCCCCAGGCTGAGGAGGACACAAGCCACAGGAAGGCAAAGGCAGCAGTCACCACAAGGTCCTGTCAGAAGTAACAGTAAACTCTGAGCACGTGCACACTGACATCAATATCACATGATTACTCAGAAACATCGTCTTAGTTCAGGTTGCACTGGAAACATTATCTGCTGCATAACATGACTCTGTGGTCACTGGAAAAACCAAAATAAAGCTGCATAACTACGACAGTTCTTACGTGTGTTTTAAATTTTTATTTGAATAATAAAGTAACATGCACGGATGTTTGACTACATGAATCCAAAACGTGTTGGGGAGACAACATGTATCGATGCACTATGAATGCCTGTGGATAGACTAAAATACTGGCTGACGAGATGCCTCCCAGTTTGCAGAAGCTCTTTCTCAGAAGCAAATCAACACATCACCAGAGAGGACACATCAAAACAGTCTCTGCTGTCCCCGATTCTTATGTACTTAATCCTCTTCATTACTGGTTACCCAAAAGAGGCTCTGATTCAGCAAAACCTGTTAGAGGGCCGAACACATCTGCATAGACCAGTAGCTTTTTTTTCACAACAATGTTATTTTTATGTTAATAGCAAGACAGATTCATTTTTACTGAAGAGAATACAACTCAGTGGTTGCCTGAAAAGTACAAAGCTGATTAAAAATAACTCCTGTTTGGTTTTGGAGAGAATCATGCATATGTTATCTTTATTATCCAGACATTCAAGATTTGTTTTTTGTTTTTTTTAAGTCAAGAGTCTTATTGATCATCATGGAGTGTCAGTTTAAGCTTTCATGAAGTGGAGAACAGTAAAGACCACGTGACAAAATGATGGTTCACCAAAGTTCTGGGATGGATGATGTAAGGGTCTCAGGGGGCAGCACTTGTTGAAAAATTACAATTTTAAGAACAAAGCACATATCCAGTATGTGTACGCAACTGTATTGTCTTAGTCATCATTTACTCAGGCTTTACACAGAACTAGATGGGAAGAACTACTTGAACACAAGTGGGAACAAACAATGCTGCAGGAAGCTCACAGCTGCTTGAAGACATATACTTACTATGATGGGACCGCGGCTGCTCTGACGGTAGACGTTCTGGTAGCCCAGATAGAGGATCAGTGTGGCGGTGCAATAGAGGAATCCAAACACACCGACACACACAAAGAACTCAGCCGAGGAGGAGAAGTTGCCCTGCAGGTACATGCCGTTGGATGTTTCATTACAGAATGTCATCGTATATGGGTGCGCTCCCAACCTGAAGTCATTTAGAGACAGAGAGAAAGTACCTTCAACATTTGGTCTGATGACTCCTGTTTCTAGAATTTGTGATTTCAGAGAAAACAAGTCCTCACCTGGTTTTCTCTTCTATCCAAGGAAGGCAAGAGGAAAGAATTTACAAGCATTTAATAAAACCTGTAATGTTTTACAAATACTGCGCGCAAACAAACTGAAACAGAACCCTCAACTGATTTGATCATAGGTCAAATCATCACAAAGACATTTTGCAGAAATTGGATGCGTCATGTGACATGTACTTCTAGTCGTTACTTAAAATGATTCCGTGAGGTTCCATGTGGGATTGTTCCCCTCTGATAAGTACGATGGAAGTGTTCATCTATCGGTAGGTCTCCTTTTATTTATTTCTAACATGTGTGCAAGGCTGCACATGTGTACACATTTTTACAAACAGTGTTGCACTGTTCCACTGATCACGAGGTGGTAGTATGCAAAGAAATGCTCTAAGGCAGTTTTAGAGGTGTGGCAGGGTGCACCGTTCTCTGTTGTGTGGGTGTGCAGTTGGATGTGCTTGGTCATGGTTATCAAGGTTTAATTGGTGGTACATGAAGAAGTAGTAGCTGCATGACCACCAGGACCCATGGTTTCCGAGCAGATGATCAATCTCTTTATGTGTCATTGACTTCAGTGTTGTGGCTAATCACTCTGTGTCTTACATTATGATGCTGAATGGAGCTAAACTTTAAAATGCATTTTTATTTTGCTGCTGTCACTGAAGTACTGTATCCTCAACCATTCTCTATCATTCGCTCTTTCACTCCTGTCTTATAAATCAGAGCTGGAAATCTGACATGTTACTAGCCCAACAACCGAATATGTGAATATTCGGTCGTTGTGCTGGTATCCGGATAGAAATTTGGTATCCGAATACTCTACATCTGCAGTCCTCTGACAGCGTTAACATGAAGAGTCAGCCAGTAAATATGAGATAAAAAGTAAAAACAAAGTAAAAGTAAAGCAACCATACTTTTCACCACATGATGGCGGTAATCCACAACAGTGTTCCTGTACTGACAGTAAGAGGTAAGGCATAGCAGTAAAGGAGAGTATGAATGGGAGTGATCTAATGTTGGGCAGTACCTGAATGGGTAGCCAAACACAGCATTTACATCTTTTGAATCCTGGGGTAGTGGACAATTGACTTTGAAGTGGGTTGTCCCAGAGTAACCTCCAGTAGTGGCAAAGGCAAAGATGGTAAAGACCTGTTGAGGCACAGAAAACGAGAACAATACTGAACAATACTGCATTAAAAGGGGAAATTCTACATTACAGCCAATATAAAATTGATATCATGATCCCTCTCCATGAGTGACAGCTTTGTTATTTCCACCTTCTGAACTAATTTTCCCCCTTTGCTATCGCTCTGTTCCCTGCGGTTGTCACATCCTTTTCCCACACAGGAAACTCCCTCCCTCTCAAAGAGCTCAAAGCAAACACGAAGACATGAAGCCCACGAGCAAAACAGTTGAGCTCCTAAACTAGTTTTCTTTTTAGAGCTTACATGTGGTAAAATGTCATGTCCTGAAACTAAGATAAATGACTTTTCTAAAGAGGAAAGCATTTATTTTTACTGGGCTAGTCTGAGCTCTCAGACAGGATTAAACAAATACATAACGCTTTGATGGCCTTCCATAAAAAGAAGTGTTCCATGGTATTGTCAACATCTGATTTGATGGCGATCATATCATTGGAGTCCATTCTTACTGAAGAATTAATATGTAGTGGTAATTCTACAATGAATGCGTCATTACAAACATGTTGGATGTGATACTTATTTCTCTATGTGCTACAGCTCCATTTGAGTCACAGTGCTGCACTTGCTGACATCTTATACACCATAAACACACAATATGTACTTTATGGCACAGAAAAGAGTTTTTTTTGTCTGCTTTTCAGGTTACTGAAGTAGATTGTATAAAGTACTTAAAATTTCCTGATTGAAAAGTGCCATACAAATAAATGTATCTTGTCTAGTAGAAGTGTTTAAAAACATGAAATTGTAAGTACATTTGGCTGCAAAACATTTTGAAGGTTTTTTTTAACCTTCCAGTTCCCTGTGTGTCTCAGGTATACCAATAACAATTACTCTAAGTCTAACATGCTTAAAATTTAGCAATGACAAGACAACATTAACTTTAAAACTCTGTATTTTTGTAATTCCTGTAGAATGGCTTTATCATACCACATAAGAATGACTGTCAGCAAAAAAAAAACAAACTCATGGAAGAATAACAAGTCGATATCTGCAATTATGCTGACAAAGAGACAGCAGCAGGAAGAGTGGAAAGCAAACGGGTGACCAGCTCATTTCCTTTAACCTTTTACATGAACTGACTGTGCAGAAAACTGTGAAAAAGGTTGTTTGTTTTTTTTAAATGTGTGTGTGTTCTAAATGTTGGTTACCTCCTTAAATTACTAACAATTAGTCGTTGGTCTTAAAAAAACAAAAACTGATCAGTCGACCCCTTACAAACAGATGAAGTCAAACAATAGTAGAGCCAATCCCGAGCAAAAACCTCCTACACCTCCTTTATGTGCCCCCAAAAACATGCTAAGAGGCTATATCAGTAAACAGAGTACATCTGTTTAACTCGACAACAATGCAGTTGAGATTCTGACTGCTGCTGTTTCATCCTATTTTTAAAGGCAAGACAGTCTGTGCTAAAATAGAGATGCTACTGGGAACAGAGCAGAGTGGGACTTCATACACCAGCTCTCTGTCATCTAGCCAAAACTGGCACACATTATAGGAAGAAATTAAGCAGGCTCATTGAGGCTCAGACATTTTGGACTACTTTTTTGGGGGGGAAATATGAGCCTTACGGTGCAAGCTCTCTCAACACTGTTATAGTGCTTACAGTAAACATTAAATGTTACTCAGTGTATTAGGACTGGAGCTTCACCTCTCTGATCTGCAGCTGCTGGCCTCACCGACATCCAAAATATTTATTTTCTGTTCTGTTGCTTAATCTCCATCTGATATCCTGCTATTGCCCCCCACCTGCCACCCCCACTCTCACCCCAATTGGTTGAGGCAGATGGCTGCCTTCCCTGAGCTTGGTTCTGTCAGTTTTCTGGGTTTTTTTTTGCCCCCTCCCTATTGGATGGGTGGATGGATGGACTGGAGGGTGGGGGTTACTATGAAGCTCTATATGTATGGTGCCTAAATTTATTAGACCACAAGTCAATGTAAGGTTTATGCCACAGCTGCCCTAAATTAGCAGCACTGGTAATTACAAAATAATTGATGTTTTCTTTGGAGTCAAGTCTCCAATAGTAAGGGAAAAATATCAAAATCTGGCAACTCAATCGTTACCAAACAATTTCTTCACCAATATGTTTGTAAAGGTGTGTAATAAAATGCCTTAAAATGTTGAAGTTCAACTCTCGTGGGAAACCCTGAAAAACACCTGCTCAAGTTAGGGTACCGATAAACGATTGACCAAAAATCGATTTTTTAAAAATCGGGCCTTAAGGAGCTTATGAGCGGTCAAATCAGGGTTTGTTCATGATTCTGAGTTGACTGTTAGCATTTATATGTCACCACAAACACTTCTTCGTTGAAACAGGCCACACTGGAGGCAACAGTGCTAAGCACCGAGACACCTCGCAGCCCTAAATACTGAATATAAATCAGTAAATTAGTTTTGTTTTCGTGCAACAATGCAAATAACTACGTGGTGGGACTGGGTTCCTGGAGTTACTTTTTAGAGTGTACATGCATGTTCAGTTTACACACACTGTGTAGCAAATAGAAATAATGTTGGTAATCCTAACTGACCTAAAACAGGAAAAGTTTAGTCTGGTTTAATGTCAGACACTGAGTGTCTTTTTATAACGTGTGTGTAAACTTCTGGTTTCAACAGGGCGGGTACACAGCGCTGTTACTGAACCTGTGCTGAAATTTCTCAACTACAACTCTGCCAAAATAAATGCTGCATCCGTTTTAATCAGATCACCAACAGG